GCGTCGTTGTGGGCTCTCGTGTCCCTTGGGTTTCCGAAAACGCGCGACTGGGCGTGGACGTATCGTCAGTCGCTGGCGACCCCCACCCAGTCTGGCGAGGTGCTGAAACCAGACGACGAGATGCTCTGCTTCGATCTGCTGTTCTATGTTGGCATGATCAGCGAGGAAGAGGTAAGCGGTCGCGTTGTTCCTGATTTCCGTCTGATTCTCAGCTGACAACAACCAAGTGGTTCGCCGACTATTCACCATACTGGAGATTCGTTGGCCGCTACATGCATTGGGCGCCTAAACTTTTCGACATCGCTGAGAGCTATCTGAGACGCCACTTTAGCGTTGCAGAGGGTCAACCCATACCTCCTGTGAGTCGGTTTGCACGTAGTGCCGATGTACGTAAATCTAACATTCTGCCCAGTTCATTTCTATCCACGTCCGTCGCGCCGACTTTGTGGGATGGTGTCCGTCTGGTACGGACAAGGCAGCGTGCTTTGCCCCCCCAAGCGCGTATGCCAAGCGCGTAAAGGAAATCCAAGAGGCACTGCGTGGACGGCCCGAGGGAGGAATCGACGCTCGTGCTGTGCTGGTCATGTCAGACGAGCGAAGTCCTGAGTGGTGGCAGGAGATTGCCGAGCTTGGACCCGAGTGGGGATGGGTGGACCATGCTGCTGAGCGCACTGTTGAAAAATATGGGAAATGGTGAGTTTTCCGACGGTTTGAGACGAATCGTGTTCTGATAGTAGTGCGTAGGTACCCGGTTATTTTGGATGCTGTGTTCCAGTCAATGGGTGCTGGGTTTGTTGGAACGCAACATAGCACCATGTCTTCGCTCGCTCAACGACGAGTAGAGACCTGGAATGGTGGTTTAGGCACCTTGGTGCACTGGGGGAACCCTCATGCTGATGATCATTGATCGTCAGGGCTGGACTTTTTCGGTTGGGTTCGGGGTAATGTTTTTGGAATATGTCTGGTTGGCGGGCTTCTGTCGAGAGTATTGTGTGTGTAGACGGTATTTTACCTATTAGTCACGTTTATTGTGTATATCTCGATCTCCTGTTTTATCGTGTACCCCTCGCTATGTGCACTTGCGTTGTCACTGTAAATCCCTTGCTTCTTCCTTGAACGCCCTTTGCGTATATTTCGTTGTGTTTACCGGAACGGGTTTAATTGTCCAAATCTGGTGCCTGAATTTGTAATCGCAATGTACTAGTACCTTGGCTGGCAAGATATCAAACGCGTCCTATCATAGATTTTCCTGAGTCCAACTTTGCCACGCCGATGCTTTTCTTCCCCTAATTTTTGCTCAGCGCCTACTCCGATGTCTGAAACCATGATTTGGAGTCTCTTGCCAACGAGTATTTTGACTCTGAGTCCACAACACGAATAAGCAAGTCGAGATTCACTCTCCAGAAAGGCTTGGTGGGGGGCTTTTTTCTGTGTATAGTTGGCACGGCTGCCTAGTATTTTTCGTCGGAGCATACGGGGGCAGCCTATCTAGTATCCGGCGGCTTTGGACGAAAAGGTTGCAATAAAGTCTCTGAATGGCTCAAGCGTGTTATTACATAGCAATACCACTCTTAGGTTCCGAGGTAAGCCTCGGTCAAATATCTATCCGCGATGCAGTTGGTAAACTCGAGTCTGCAGACAACCTGCTACCGTCTCACAAATATGTTACTGCTTTCACAACCGCTGGGCTCACAAACCAAGCAATGGACGCTGTGGATCTATTATATCTAGCCATCCTTGCCCGCGAACAATGAGCAAACGGTGTCCTCCCCTGAACCAGTAGGCTGCTGGAGCGTTTGTGCCGAAAACAAGGTTTCCAGAGGCCGCCCGCTGGACATGGCATTCTGATCCTGTAGCCCCATACTGTTATCCTTTCAGACGTCTCGTACACGCCCGTTTCGGCAACTTTTACCCTCAGCCACGGCATCGGGCCAAATGACTCCATGTGATCTGGGCATTGGGTCCTCCTGGCTTTCCCGAACCGTGTCAACGACGACTCAATTGCTGGCACCCTCGTATGTACCCAACCCTCAGTGGTTCGGGCCAGAAGATCGACCCCAACGACCAACTGCTGTGTTTCGACCTGTTCTGTTATACGAGCGTGACAGAGCCGGCGCCTGCGAGCGACGTAAGTCTCGTGTGACTGGTTGCTGGATGAAACTTGACGCACGCTCTAGTTTTTTTGCAGACTATTCGCGTTCTGGAATCTCTTGGGGGCACATCTGCACTGGAAACCATCTCTGTTATCCCTGTTGGACCTAGCTAACCAGTATCTCCGTCGTCACTTTGGGGTAGCGGACAACAGCCCAGTACCTCCGGCACTATTCCAAGCTATGCTAGAACGACACAAGTCTGACAGATATTCTGATGCAGTTTATCTCGGTCACGCCGACGAACCGACTTCGAGGCGGGTTGCTACGAAGAAGATGATCTGGAAAAATGCTTTGCACACCACCTGCATTCCACTCATTTAGCAAAGATTGTGGGGTTTGGATTTGTTCTGTGTCTAGACTCGTTTCTTCACACGTTTACGATCCAACCCATTCGATTCGTCCTCGACGGGTTGATGAAATAAAGCAAGGCTTGTTAGCTCGGCCAAACGGCCAATGTTACAAGGGTGTAGCCATCTCGGACGAGCGTGATCCCAGGTGGTGGGATCAAGTCGCCGCACTCGGCCCTGAATGGGGTTGGGTTGACCACAAGTCTGAACAGACAGCACAGAAGCATGGGCCATGGTATGTGTCTAGCTAACTATATGCGTTGGTTGGAATAATAGATTCGCGTTAGCAGGTTCCCTATGATTCTGGACGCCATGTCCCAGCCAACGGGAATAGGATTCGTGGGGACACGTGGGAGTAGTATGCCATACATCGCTCACAAGCGGGTTCGAGACTGGCAGGGTGGGCTTGGCGCCGGAGTGCAATGCGGTAGTCCAACAGCAGATAATCACTGATTTCGTATTTTGAAGTGTTTTGGACTTGTACTCCACTTTTCTTTCGCCTTTCGCTAGACCACCTAGAGTTACTTGTTGTTGTATTTGTTGTATGTTAGATAATTCATGAACATCTTGGGTCAACCGAAGAACCGCCGTCCTTGCTGAATTCTCAGACATCTACTCGGTGCGACTTCAAGCTTGACCGCGGATTCTTCCAATCCACTTCGTCCCACCTAAATATCAACAAGCAGGCGTTGGCCTCGAGTCGCTGGGCAAAGGTGGGGCAGACGCACCTGCAGTACACATACGGAAGTTTTTCATAGTGTAGCTCTGGATAGTATTTAGAAATCGCTTCAATGATAAGCTCGTATAAAATCTATGCCAGGTCAGATACCACGGGATAACATGATAACCCCAGTACTGACCTTGTAAGAGGCTCCATTGCAGTGTAGCCCGTCTGGTAGTAGCGCCTCCAACCCCTTTTCAGTTTCCCCAGCTTCCTTCCAGAGAGCAGCCCATAAATCTACAACAGGCACACCACGTTTCTTTCCTACATCTATCACCGCTTGCGCATAAGCCTTGGTGTTCTCATGGGTACGATCGGGGCCAATAGGTGGATTGCGAGAGGCAAGCTCGGCGTTCCGTTGAGTAGCATTGATTGGGGGCGTGGTTACTAGCAAGACTCGAGTGGTTGGGGAATACCAGGGAGAGGTTGGCAAAGTTGGCATATCGACTATCGTGTTGATATTTTCGATGAACCTTGGCAGCGGGACCTGACCGGAAACATGGGATCATGTAAGGGCTCAAGGTAGACCGAAACGTACGTGCTGAGGGCTATGTTCCAGAACCGCATCGTTGGCACCTGCGCGTGAGCTATGAGGCAGAACCCAGCGAACTTGTTGTTTAAGGGCCTACCGAACCAAACTACCAAGAGCTTTACCTTGGGTAGCGCGCCTTGAAGTTCGGCTTTTGCAAAGGACTGAATAGGACACGGGTTGGTTGTGGTAAGGGAATTTTAAACGACAGTTCTCACCTCTTCGAATACAGGGATGCCCCACTCGGTATTATAACTAGGTATTGAATACGTCTATGGCTTCTATTACAGATCCTATTTTTCGTACCCAGAGAGACCACGGTTTATGACATCGAATTTGCGGGCATACACATATGCGAGGCGTTGAGCAAATCCACCTAGCGGCATGATAAGGCCCGGGGCAGCGTGCCGTTTCGATACACATACCAGGCTCCCACCCCCCTTGAGTTAGGGAGTCTCCCAAGAGCATGATGCAGTCCAAGGTATTCGCAGCCATTGTAGGATAGAGGGTACGGTGGTCGTATAGATAGCAGAGTGATGGAGACCAAATCGGCACAGATCAGAGGGCGCTTACCGCGATTAGGAGCTTAAGTGTCAAATATGTTTGCAGTTTAACGGTTTTGCTATCGTTTCTGAGACGACTGAAGCTCACGAATATATTATACATCGTGCTGAAGAGAAAGGGGCATGGTGAAGGTTACACAAAGTTTGGACGATGTTCAAATCTGCCCATGTAGGAGCTTACATGAGACGAGGCACTCGACCTTTCGAGTTGAACCAGGAGGGATTGTATACATCGCACATGAAAATTCTTAGGGACAGCATAGCGGTGTGAGAAAAGAACGGAGCAAAAGGGATTACTACTCGTGGATAAATGAGCCGCATACATTCGGGGGCTTGGTGGGCCTTTTCCGTCACCTGTACCCCCCCAAAGCAGCGACCCGTTTTGTTTATCTTCGCTTGAGGTTATCCTGAAGGTCTGAAATAGATATACACACCTTTTCCACCAATTCAGTTTGAAAAGGTCGAGTGGCTTGTCTCTCAACGCAACCTCCAAAATGCCGACCTGAACACCGTCTAAAAACCATATAACTTTCGCCTTGTTATTCCCCTCGTCAGTGTGGCTTCTAAACCTACTCATCGTGCTCCATTAGGCCTAGGAACAAGGACAAAACCACTGAAATGCGTCGTTGGCGTTTGTCAGGGTCTGGTCAAGTCGGCTGAAAATCGGGGTTATGGATGGTATTTCAAGGCCGCCTGGTGTAGTTGGTTATCACGCATCCTTCACACGGTTGAGCGGATGAGGTCTTGAGTTCGAACCTCAAGGTGGTCATTTCTTTTGCTGCTTCACATTTCCGAATTGTTTCTGACGTTTTTTTCCCCCTACATTTCAGTGAATCTACATTTCTATCTACGAGTCAAGAGTGACAAATGAACCCTGGCCGGCGGAAGCGCTGGTGAGCACGTGATACATTGCTCTCTTCTACACAGACTTGACCAGGCAACCCGTTTTGAAGATTATCATGGCCGGAGATCATGGTAAGTCCAGGTAGAATGCGCAACGTAGTACACAGCTTAGCCGAATTACTATAGGAACTATTAAAGTGAGCTTTGAACAGCTCGTGTCGTTTACGACATCTTATGAGCATCACAGATTGACCCCGCTATCGAGCGATGGGGTGCTATGGTACGCCAAACCAATCAATAGTGTGATTGTTACTCAATTATTGCAGAGGGATAACTTATGGCGTGGCTTTCGCATGACCCCTTACGCCGCTCGCAAGGTAACCCTCTGGCTTGGGATTGTGCCGCTATCCGTCGGTATTCTGGCTCTCACACTCGACGTACGTTTACTTCACACCAGATATATAGCCCGACTTATAAGTCTTGATATTCTAGCGGAAGATCGACTGGAGGGCCAAGCGCAAGGGGGAATCGCTCCTTAGAAACCCACCTGCTGTCGCTCCCGCCGAGGAGTAAGCATGTACCAAGCGATAAACTGTGAATGAGAAGTCTGAATTGACAGAACGAAGCCAAAGCGAATACATATGCATACAAATTAACGCTGCTTAATAGAGTCCATAAAGTTATCTAGACCCAATCCAGAATACTCGTCCTCGCCTGGCAGGTCCTCCAGACCTTCGAGCACATGCTTCTGCGAGACCGGCCCTCCAGCAGCCTTTTTCTCTGCTCGTTTCTTTGCTGCCACGTCTTCTTCCTCGGTAGTGCGTTTGAACAGGTCGAGCACTTGGTCCGTATCCATCGAGGCGAGCCCCGAGTTCTGTTGTGTAATGACCGAGTTGGCAATGTTCAGTTTGAAGCGTTGCAAGCTAGAAAAGAGTCAGCTACATCCAGGCGTATCTAGGGAACGGAACCTTACCCCATGATCTTCTCCTCCAAAGTGCCTTTGGTGATCAGCCGGTACACATTGACCACTTTCTTCTGACCCAGACGGTGGGCCCGATCCATAGCCTGGAGGTCCTTCATCGGATTCCAGTCGTGCTCCACAAAAATGACCGTGTCCGCGCCAGTGAGCGTCAGGCCGAGACCGCCCACGCTCGTTGTCAGGAGCAGGCAGTCGATACTCGGGTCCGAATTGAACGTTTGCACCACGCCGTGACGTTGGCTGGCTGGAGTCGACCCATCGAGCCGCATGTAGGTGACTGACGGCATGAGCATGCGGAAGAGGTCTTCCTCGATAATGTCAAGCATCTGGCGCATTTGGCAAAAGATGAGGACTCGGTGTTGTGATGAAATATCGGTGTCTTCTGCCGACTTGAGCACATCGCCGTCTTCGCTAGCTGTGCATCCAATGCCGCAGTCGTTTAGAAGTTGCCTAGAATGATTGGTTATTTACTGGGTTAATATAGGTACGCAAGACTCACCTTAACGCAAGCAGCTTTGGTGCATGTCGCACGTCGCGCACACCCTTTGGACCTCCCTCGGTCTTGGTCGAGAACCGTTTGGCCAAGTCGGCTTCTTCCTCGGCGTTTTTGATGATAAGCACAGGGTGATTGCACAGCTTTCGCAAATACTGCAGCGACTGGAACACATGCTGCTGGTTCGGGTTTGCCGATTTGGATGTGACTGCACCTTGAGCAGCGCTTCCGGCTTGAGATTGTGAAAACGCATCATACAGGTGCTTTTGCATATCGGAGAGCTCGCAGTAGTGGTCTTGGATGATCTTGGGCGGTAGGTCATTGAGCACCTGTTCTTTGAGCCGGCGAAGCAGGAACGGCAGAACTTGTTTGTGCAGTGCCTCCAAAGCAAGGGTTGCTGCAGAAAGTTAGCTTGCGAGCTACGTAGGATAACTTTGAGACTAACCTGCTTCGCGGGTCTTGGCCGATGCCTTGGCGTCCTTGTTCGCCAAAATTGGCTTGCCAAAGCGTTCGTTAAACTGCTGCTCCGTCCCAAGGAACCCAGGCATAAGAAAGTCGAACAAGCTCCAGAGCTCTAGGACGTTATTCTGGATCGGCGTCCCAGAAAGCAACAGTCGATGGTGTGCGTTGATCGTCTTGACTGCCTGCGTGATCTTCGTCCTTCCGTTCTTGATCTGATGTCCCTCGTCCAGGATACAATAGTGCCAATTGAACTGGGCTAGGCTTGCGATGTCATTTCGCACCGAGTCGTACGATGCGATTACGACGTCTTGGTGCTGGATTTGATCGACCAAGCGTTGACGGTCACGGCTGGTACCGACGTAGCGCAATGCTTTGAGGTTGTTGGTATATTTTGTGATTTCGGCGTGCCAGTGGCCGGTGAGCGTCGTTGGGCAGATGATAAGGGACGGAATGTGGACCGAATCGGGGGACTTGGTTGCCTTGTATCGCTCTGCACGCTCGTGGTGCTTGCTTGCAAGGATACAGATCGATTGAAGAGTTTTGCCGAGACCCATGTCTAACAAATGCTTAATTAATACTCGGAAACCAAACATGAGATGGTCACTCACCGTCACACAGGATGCCATGAAGCTGATACTTGGCCAAAAACGCCAGCCAATTCACGCCCTCTTGCTGGTACTTGCGTAACTCCACGTTCAGCTTGACAGGAATCTCGTATGGTGTGACCTTGCTTCCGTCAAGCAGCTGTGTCAAGAATTCACGTTCGGATTCCCGCTTCGCCAGCATATCTTCCGAGAACCCAGGAGGATCGGGCAGGCCGGCCTGCGATCAAGCGGTAAGCATCGGAAAGGAGCGAGTAGTTGGAAGGACTTGCCTCGAGGGGTACCATTCTCACGAGCGACGCAAACGTGTTGGTCGCGACATACCGACAATCATTGTCATTATCGCTCATCCGTCCGAGCACGGGCACAATCATGAAGATCACATAGGGCAGCACCTTCAAGTCCAGCTTTTGCACGATATCTATCATCCTCGAATCAGCAACCATTCATGTCTAAGACTAGACACCACTCACGATAAATGAGCTCCATCGCCCCCTGCCGGTTCTCCAGCACAGTCGTATCACCCAAGAATGGTAACACCTCCTCGATCACGAACCGCATACCCTGGACGGTGATCGTATCGCAGAGCGTCGCAAGGGACCGACTCGCTGCTTGCCGCACGAGCGCGTATTTGCTCTTCAACGCCCGTGCAATCGCGGGGAAGAGTTCGACGACTCGGTCATGCAGCGACTTGTCTAGGCTCGGCACGACGACGTGCAAGACGGTCAAGCTGTCAATCACTTGTTGTCCTACCGCGTCGGCCTTTTCAATCTTCTTGTCTCCGTCGGTGCCTGTGCATCTCGTCAGTACGAAATACTATAGGTGTGCATGAGCTTACCTTCACCAAACGCATCCGCCAACCCTCCAACCATTGAGACCCACATTTGCTTCAACCTCGTAAACAGTTCAGACCCAAACAATTCTCCGAGCCTCATCAACGCGAGCTGCGCTCCGCGCTTCACGATCCGCGCCTTGGCCGCCTCGGGCGTCTCTGCTGCGTCTTCCTTGGTCCGACCCGACTGGGACGGCTTGGCGGCCATGAGCTTACATGTGAGCACGCCGGCGTGGACGCGCCGGGACTGGGCAAAGACGGGTGTCACGTCGGTGTCTTGGCAGACAAACGCACACAGGTTTTTGACGATCTTTTCAGCAGGCATGACGGCGAGGCCAGACGAGGGTGTTGTGCAGTCCGAGACGAACGTTGCAACAGCGTTTGCGGACCTTGTCTGGATGTCCAAGTTGTCTTCAAACTAGTTTAACTAAACTTTAGTATCCAACGCCCCTGGAAGTGCGCAACTCACCTTGACGCCATTCATGATACTCCTCACAAGCGGGTTCAACTTGGACGGATACACCCTCAACGCAATTAATGCCCCCGCAACCGCCGCACACACCCTCACATCCAATTGTCCCTTTACCACACCATACCGCTCCAGCCCAAACCCAATCCGCCCACGCTTCTCCTCCAACCCCCCAAGCTCCTTTTTCCGCCCACGTGGGATGCTCGCCTTGAGCGTATCAAACGTCTCGCTTACAAACTTTTGCGCAAACGCAAACGTGAACGCGTCTTCTTGTTTGCCCTCTGGGTCGATCCGGTCGGGCAACGTGGGGAGCTTGGACGCGGGAACGCGCGCGTCGTCGGCAAATGATTGGACGAGGGCGCGGCAGTCGAGTGCGAGGGTGCGGAGGTGCGCGCCCATTTCGTGGTACGAGGCTGGGCAGTCTTGTTCGAGAAAAGTGAGGAGGTGGGTTGAGCATTCCGAGGCGAGATCAGAGGCTTGGGTGAGTGCAGGTGTGCCCTGGGCGACGGCCCATTCTTGGACGATCGTAGAGGCAATGAAGCGCTGGAATGCGCTTGTAGACTGGATAAAGTGCAGCAAGAGGTCGCCGAATGTATGTCGTTGCAACTATATCTCACATATCAGCCACACTCCCTTCTTGATTACTTGGTACTCACCTCGGCCGGCCACGCAGCAATCAACACGCCTACAGCTTTCGCAGCATGAAGCCTACCCCTATACACAACCTCCATCCCAAGCAAGCTTAAGTCCTGCTGCATCGCGTTCTTGTCCACATTATGCGCCTCCTCGCCTTTCCTGGTCGGGTAAAAGAAGTACGTCGCGTTGAGCGGCTCGCCGATGGGCGTCGCGAGCATGCACAGCCAGTTGTACACCACCTCTGCAAGCTCAGATTCCGGCGTGCCTAGGAGATGCACAGCGACGGACCAGACATGAGCGGTGGCGTTGCGTATGTCGTCGCGTTCTTCGAGGACAAGATTTTGGAAGAGGAGTTGGAAGACTGGGCGGGTGATCCAGTCTCGAGGGAGCGAGGGGGTGGCCGAGTCACCTTCTTTTGTAGCCTTTGCGCATGAGCCAAGGAATGTGCGGAGC